GCACAGTTTATGAGTTTTGAGGGTGGTTGGGATAATAGAGGAACATTTATTTTAGAGATCAGAATTACTGTGAGCAGAAACTTTTTCTTCAAAATTTGTGCAAAACATAAATAAAGAAAAGAAATACACACAATTTATTAAGAGGTTGTGTATCAAACTACCACGAAAGAGCCCGACAAAATTCAACTGCACTGTCAGGACTAGCAAAGCCACAGTAACATTTTTGTGCCGTTAGACAAAAACAGGCTTTCATCTAAAGGATAAGACGATCCGAGCATGCAAGAAAGGTAGCAAGCGTGAAATTAGAATATGTGTCTGATGAAAATCAACTGACTAAACAAGTTGAATATACGAAATTCGTCATCCTTGCTGAGTACAGCTGGAATTTGAAAAGCAGCTATTAAATATTCCATCACATTTGTTTCATGTTTAATGGCAATATCGCATGTTACTGAAACCATAACGAGCTGTGATGAATTGTGCTTCGATCTTCCTGTTAGAGCTACGGACAAGGAACTATTCATCCAATGGTTAATTACTACAAGTGTACCAAGTGGGATGCTACAAGACTCGCACAGTCTTTAATGATATTCAACATGATCACCATGCCGAGGAAATGAAAGTCATCTAATTTTCACAAAAAATCGCATTCAAGTAATCTAGAAAGACAGAACACTTTTTGTTGCCCTGAATAACGACGATGTGTTTCGACAATGTTAACAGCAATAATGAAGGAGATGTGAATACCTTTTTGATATTCTGCTACTGTTGATTCTGGTGTTTTTTTTTTGTAGACAGGATGTTTGTCCCTTAAATTTTAAGTTTCTATAACATGCTCAAAGTTAATGTCTTTTTGTTCTAAAAACAATACAAATAAAATCACAGAAGTATTCTAACATGTATTTAAGTTCACACAAGGTATGCGTATTATTTTAATACAGGTCATCTCTTTTCTGCATGCTTATTTCTAAAATATCTTTTGCCCTGTAACGTTTGAGACTTTACTCTATTTAGCTATTGTTGATTAGAAAATAAACAAACAAATCGATTTTGTTCATATTTGCTCAATGACCTGTTTCATAGCAATACTTTTTAAAAGTTCTACTTTTATTAGTATTTTTGTAAATACAAGTCTAGTTTCCTTTTTGAAAAATAATTTTTGTCCGGTAACGTTTACAACATTACGACTGTTTCATAATAATTTCTTTTCTAAGAAATGTTTTGACATTTGTGTGAACAAATGGATATAAAGGACATTGTGCTTCCCCAATCAGTTTTTCTTTTTCGTTATTATGTTTCATGTTTTGACTGTTACGGTTGTGTCCGGTAATGTTTAAGACCACAGCGCATAGGTCTAAACTTCTCTTCCGTTTGCAAAGACTCTAAACAAGCTCTTGCTTTAGCCCTATAAGGATCAAAACTACACATTCAAAGTTATACTGAGTACATGCTCAAGCTATTTGGCCGAATTCTACAATTTGATGCCCTTGTTACAAAAAGTTCATATGTGTATATTTGAAGTATGCAGGCTGTGGTTCCTCTTGTGCGTCTGTATGCTGGCTAGGAATGTTTTTCAATATTCGTTTTGTTCGCTGCTGGTGAGACATAATTATGTGTTCCCTGCGAACTTAAAGAGTTGAGTTATTTTAATAGAAAAGTAGTTAGCATTATCAGGCGGGAAGGACAAGAGTATGTATGCACGTATGCATAAGTTTAACGCCGCTATCAACACTAATAGGTTACTTAAGAAGAAGGACCTGCTATTTTAATCGCCGTCTCCGAAGGACCGCGTCAAATATGTTGAAAGCCTTGAAAACTCCAGAAGACAACTCAATTTCAAGAAAGCCCATTCTGGGATTCGAACCATGGCCGTCTGCTCCCTGGCCCAGCATGATGCTAACTGAGCTAACGGAGTGCCCAGGATGGGAGTTATAGGTAACAGATTTTACACTATTATAGAGATTGAAAACGTGTTCGGAACGTTCGAATTTTGGAAAGGAATTCAGTAAACCAGTAATGCCAGAGACGAGATTGCACTATCAAACAGGGTATTGGAGACAAACTAGAAAAAGAGTAAGAGATAGAATAACTGGGGGTTACAGAAGCACAATCGGGGATGAGGCAATCAAGCAAGGCCAAGAGGTGCAAATTGTGGGAAAGACGGTGTTGACTGCTCTCTGCCATATTAATAAGTGGAGCGTGTTGCCAAAATGAATATCTTCTCACAATGCACGAGTGGAGATATTTTCCGAAAATAGACACATCAAATCTGTAGATTAATGCCATTTTCCTTAAGTTAAACGCGTCTTTTATAATTTCGTTTAACCTATAAATGTCTTGCATCTATCTGGTTCATAAAGGCTGAAATAAGGAGACTTTACTCATTTTGTCAGCACACTTCAAATATGTACCTGACGGTATACGGAGAGAGGAAGTAACCAAATAAAAGCTGCATTTATTCGCCATATTTGGGAATAAGTGCTCCCAATATCATTTGTCTGCTCAAAAAATCTGAACTGGACAAAACAAAAACAAAACAAAACGAAACAAAACACCCCC